ATAATTGTTGTTATTATAATATTATGTACATAATAATTATATGCGGCTATCTCCTTATTTAAAAGGCACGATTTTGATTGATATAATACAAAACGAAAATATGTRAATATAAGAAAAAAATTATAATTTTTCACACAACTTACAAGTAGTATATACTTACATATATACTTATAAGTAGTACCTAATATTCAGTCATTGTTGAATATTGAATATTGAAAAATAACTCTGAACAACGATTTTTGATCAGTCGACTCATTCGTAGAATAACGATATTCGTCATTTCATTTTTAATTTTATTTAACCTTCATACAACCACCTACTTARGTACAGTAATTAACTGCAAAAGTGTCTTTTACAATCTCAATTTTAACATACGTATACCTGCTGATAGTTATAATTGGGGCTGAGATTTTGATACAAAGGCATCTTTTTTTCTGGTGTTTTGAAACGTTGGTCCGTAAGTATAAAATGTGTTTTGGATGATAGTGATGATACACATAAAAAACAAAAAAAAATACACTGCCGTACCTAGTATCATTTTTAATTTTTTTGCAGAAGAAGAAAGTATAGGTATGAATTGTCCAAATTCGATAGGTACCTATAAATTAATTTTGAACTTTTATTAAATATTTAAAAAWGTTTATTTTACATAAATTATGCAAAAAAATAAACTATATTTAAAATCATGTTGGTTGTAGACTTGTAGCAACTTACAGGGCTATTTATTGATATTTTCATATTATTGATAGGTAGGTATGTTGAATACCTAAGTAATACGTATAGATAAAATAAATTGTTATTTTTAAAGTATTTTTATTTTTCATAGCACTACCATTAAACCCATAAAATAAAAAATTGTGAATTTATCTTTCAGGTTAGTTTTGCATTATTTTGTATATCTTTGCATATTTTTCTATTTTTGAGTTCATAAATGTATCCTTTTTACCTATATGGTTTTTATTGCATTAAAATATTAAATACATGTTGCTTGTGACTCGTTGTCAACTGCTAATGAGGTTGGTTTTTGTGAGATGACCCTCCAAAATTGTATTTATCATACGAAGGTATAAAAAAGAGCTATGTATTATTAAAATGCGATTTTTATCCACTTCAGAACTTTCTAGACAGAAATGGTCGTGCAACTATTTATCTCTTCCACAAATTCGTGTAAATCGTCGACATACGAAACTAATAAATTTATGAAATACCTACACTTCACCTCTGCCAGTTTTCAGTTCCTATCACATCACCTATCTACTTGTTTTAGTAGTTTATATTAAATTGTATTATAAAGAATTCTGGATTACCAATAGGGAGGTCGGAGGTACTAATTATTTATCTTTTTTCGACACTGATTGCGTAGGTACCAACACCGTATATGAAAGTATATTGAATGTTGAATACGCTACGATAATTTTTATTTTATTATTAAATCAAAATTTGCTCATTGTACACCTTAATAATTAAATGCTTTCACGCGTATATTGCCGGAAATGAATCATAAAACCGATCCATGAGGCACTCGAAATCGCCTMACCTGACACTCGTTCACTAGGAGAACAGTGAACACAATACAAGCATACAACTGTAGCTATAATATGATTGTACTGCGACCATTATTACAAAATAGTTATTTTCTCGGTGAATTTATATTTATACTTTATTTATCTATTTTTTTGAAACAACTTCAAAGGTGTACTACTTTTTTTTAAGTGTTTTGTTTTTCAATAAGAATTTAAATTTTCTAAAACAAATGTTTTCAAAAATAATTATATTTACCAAGAATACATAATACAAAGACATGATAAAGACTAAACGTTTGTCTATATTATTTCTATGATCTATAATCTATATTGTGTCTATGCATGGATCTGACTGTTCAATATCAATCTTTTATGACTATTTATTATAATCTTATAGATTATTATATTACTTATTGAATAGGGAGACTCCAATATTATTATATAGCACTATGTCAAAGATCCTACTTATAATAATATTGTCATTATGTTTTATAGATTATTAGAAGTTATTAAAAGTACACTTCATTTATAATTTCATAAACAAATATTTAATTTTAAATATTATTATCACATAATAAAGTATAAAGATCAAATAATATGGTATAAATTATAAACACATTGAGAGATATACCTACAGTCTGACAACTTCTCACAACTACATACAGTGGCGGCTATCCTATGGTTAATGTGTTGCTCAAGCAACACCTTTATATGGGGGAGGGTGTCCATAGCACGGAGTTGTAGGGGTACAACTTAGTATATGTACATTGTGGCCAGTTTATTGCAAGCGCAATCTTGCACAACTGCATCATCATAGGTTAATACAATATTTTTATAGTTAATACGATATTAGGATTACATATTTTATCATTGATTATATTATATTTATATTAATGCACAATCAGTAATTATAGTCCACAGAAAACATCGTTTTCATATTCTAATTTCAGTATTTTGTGGTAGCGAACTAGTTTTCCAGTGTGGTACTAAAATAACAACTATTACAACTGTAAYGATAAATATAAAAGTAYCAAATGTATTWTATTATTTTGAGTTTGCTATGAATAAAAAATAATAATAAAATGTGTTTATGTATTATATTTTGGTGTTTAGTTGTTGAATAATATTATCAAAATATATAACTTATTAGTTATTTAATAGTATGTTATAAATGAATAATGATGTATGATGCATGCTTGACTTATATGTACATACATGTATATATCTATACAATTGATAAAAAAACATGCTAAACTATAGGTCTACTTACATTTCAATTACTTTTTATCATTATTTATTAAATAGTGTTTCTTAAATACTGGCTTAGGAATTCGAAAGTTTATGTCAATTGGTGACTGCAAAAATCCGGTTATTGTCCCTAAGAGGGGGGGGTTGGTAATTCAAATTTAATGTTAAGCAACACCTGAAAAAGTTGGCACAGCCGCCACTGGACTAATGCTGGGTATATATGATATTATTGTTTCAATAAATTTAATTAAATCACCAGTTTTAAGGTCACATTTATCATTAAAATGATGTATAATAATATATGTTAATACCTATTTGAAAACCTACGATTACTAAAATACTAAAGTTCGAGACTATAATTTTTTTATATACCCGCAACCAGCGACAAAATTATTTTAAAAACCAATTTTCAATCAGAAATCRCCTCCCAATATTGAAGATAGAAGTATTTTTATTTTTATACTTTAAAACTMGGTGTACATACACATAGAATAATTTTTAAATCTCAATGTATTTGTAGATTCTGTCAGAATCTAAACAATTTTATATATCAAGTATAAAAGGAGTACTTACAACAAGGACGTATTAACCCAATGTCTTCGTTGCACTCGGAATCTAACGCGTATTAGCATTGATTATAAATATTAAAACTAAAATGCATTTTACCACGACCCTCGTGAATTTCNAGGTCTACTTACATTTCAATTACTGCAAAAATCCGGTTATTGTCCCTAAGAGGGGGGGGGGTTGGTAATTCAAATTTAATGTTAAGCAACACCTGAAAAAGTTGGCATAGCCGCCACTGACTACATAATTCTGCAATGGAACATAATATGTCACATTTTCAACAAAGTTTGACTACGAAATCTAATTTAATATATATTACATGAGAAAGCAAAGAATAAATATATTATAACGATCAATGTAATGTAAATTCAACATAAATCTAAATATCTAATATAAATAATAAACGATAGACTACACTACTACAGGGTACATACCAGCAGTTGATGCCATAGATACATACAATTTTTTAAAGTATATAGGAATTTTAAATTATTTCTTCTATACTGAGTGACAAACTGTTATCAGAAAATTAACTATTACATAATTAAAGTATTGTATCTACGTATACAACACAAAATAGTATTTTACTATAACGTAACATAATATGTAAACCGTATCTAATTAAATATATATTATATTCAAAATAAAATATATATATTATATACTAATGCAACAATAATTATTATTGTACCTACTTATCTATTGATATTTAACATTATAAAAATAGCATTGGTACATTTAAGTTTAAACATTTATTAATGCGAAAATATATCTTTTAAATGTCTTAATTTAAGAAAATATTTTACTAATCTTTCAAATATTTAGTAAAGACAAAATACATAATTGTAAAATTGAACAGTTATTAAATTTATTGGCATACTGGTATACAAATACTTTTATCCTAAAATATTAATTTTAACAAATTGAATTATTTTATTATTCTTACTTATGTAGTTTATAAGATAGTATTAGTATTTAGTCCAAAAAATAAATAGTTTTTGGGTGGTATATTATATTTTACAATGATTAAGCTCAACTTCTGTTATATAACACTACTCGCTTCTGACATATATCAATAAACACACACAATTTTATTATACTAGTACACAGTGATCACATAAAGTAATTACTAGTTATTAAATGTTTATTTAATCTAGTTAATAGTTTTAATATGCATGATACAACACTACCTAAATAAATTGTATTAGTGATTTATTATCAGTTGCACTTATATAAAACAATACATATATTGATAACTTGTTTTTCTAAATTATGCAATTTCAATGTAACATCGTTCTTACTTAATTCTTAAGCCAAATTTAATTGAAACATTCATTTGAAAGTAACAATTTATCACAAGTAAATAAAAAAAGAAATTATCTTCACTATGACTGAAGCAAATGAATAATTTTTGTTTGTTTAATAAAATAAATAAAATAAAAGTAATAGTAATAATATTAATAAATCACTAATTAAGACAGATTGGTAAAGACACTGTATTCATAACAATTCATACATATGCAAAAAAATTGTGTAGAAAACTACCTATTTATTTTTAATAGTTTACATATCTTAAATACTAAAAGTTTTCTCAGAAACAATATTATAAAGTTATCTTAAAAAATAAAATATAACTATGAAATATTAAGTTATKTTAAGAAGAATAAGATTTAGGAATCCACCAAGAGTCCATTAGCATTTTTGAAATACCAAATGGTATTAATGAAGTCTTTTTAGAGTCAAGAGCTTGCAAACAATACAGTTGTAGATTTACTGGCAATGAATGGCAGTAATTTATTGTGAAATTAGTTCGGCATGCAGTGGAGCAAACCATGGGATAGAGGGGATTTTTATTATTCAGTTTTTCAAAAGCCACACCTAAAAATTATTAAATTTAATAAGTTTTTTGATTAGCAGTGCAATTTTAATTAATCATTTACCTAATGGAATTCTATTACGGAAAAATTCCAATGTCCCTCTGCACATATCCAATCGAACTCCTATCAATGCATCACCGCGAAAATAGCTTTGACCATATATCAAACTTTCTCCACCGTGGTGTTTGACACCTATTGAGGAAAATATTGTATTATTAGGTATCACATATACATATAGATAATAAACTAGAGTTCGCTAAACTAAACTAGACTAGTGATAAGATGTGAAGTTGTTATCTACATAGACCTTTCTTTTATAGGTCTATGATTATCAGCCACTTTGAGTAGGACATATGGATACTGAAATCCCGCTAAAATTTAAATTTTTTTCTTTTTTACAAGTAATAAACAATCTGTATCAATTACATGGCAAATATTTGAATTCTTAATTTAAAATGAACATTTTTTTTATTGTTACTTATTACTATTGCAATACAATAAACTATGGTATAATATTATGATTGTCATTCATACATTTTTGAATAAAATATGTGTGTAGTATATTATACTTAAAATGTATGAATTAGAATTTTAAATAATAAAGAAATTATTTGCTAAAATCAGTCTGAGTTGTTTTTTAGCATATTTCATACAATATATATTTTTTACATATAATATGTATTATTTATAAATAATATTATATTATACTATATTATTTACATATTAAACCTTATTATTTTCAATACTCTTTAATTGTTTACACTATTTTCATAGAAAACAGTTGACGAGTTGAAGTAGTATTTCACTATACATATTATGTAATATGTTAATTACTGAACAGATCTATCTATGTACTTATACACATTGTACAACATAAACAAAACAATACAATAGAAAATTTTTTACCATACATTTACATTCAACACACTAAGATAAAAGTGGAATTTATTTTTATTTTTTATATTATATTATATTTATAAAGTATAAATTATTATATTTTGTTAAAATGCTAACAACGTGTTGTGTCAAAAAATGTTCTAGTCGTGGTAATCAAAAAGCTAACAGCCCAGGAAAATTTTTTTTTCTGGTAATYAAAAACTAAATAAGGTATTTGTTTAGTATCTAACCTACCAAGCAAAAATCGAATTTGAGTACTGATCTAATAACAGACAAAATCATTTCTTAATTGGTATACAATAAGTGTACCAATTGCTAAACATTTTTTGAATAATTTTGACTTAAATGCCGTAAGAGTTAATAGGTATGTGTACCTTTTATTCATATTTTATTCTATATTTTTTCTTATATTCTGTTTGATTGATTTTAACATTATTAAATGTAATCCTGTAACTATTATTTAATATTTGTAATTTGTATTAAGAATTAATTAATAATAAAAAATAACATAAATTTTATGTTTTTTAATATTACTAAAAACACACATATTTAAATCTTTTAGCAAAAAACACTATTTTATTCAATAATGAAAGTGGTTAGTTATCGACAAAAGCTTCATAAAACTATTTTATTTTAGAATATGTAAGTTTTTTTTTTTTAATTAGGAAAGACAATTTACAATCTGTGCACAATAATTTCAATAAGTATATTTGATGTATTTACCTAGAATAAAATAACATGAATAACGTGTTGAGGAAATAACCCCATTGGTATCACCTCCTATGCTAATTTAATAGATCTCTACATCGTTTACGCTTTAGTCTATGTGGTGGGTTTTTTGGGAGGGTGATATTAGAGTATTGTTATGCGTGCTTAAATTACGACGGAAACGTTTGTACATTGTTTTGACTAGTTCAGTGGTAGTTGTTATTTTTAAGTCATTATGTAATGAAAAGTTAGAAACATATCAGGGGGATTTAGTTAATAACCTCAGAGAAATTAGTTGGAAAGCTTAATTAAAAAACTGTTTATTTAAATATATCTAATTTAACTATTAATAAATTATAGTACCTACTATAATACATTTACCTAATGTTGATGTTTATTATTAGAGGTCGGATTTATATTCTCTTAAAATCCTTAAAATATGATGTTTTTATGTCGCATAAATTAGGCAATATATTCTCTTAATATTCTTTTAAAATACCAGATATATGATGTTTTATGTCCTTAAATATGMAAAATATTCTTTTAATATTAAAAAAAAATTCAGTTTAAATTTATTTTAGCTAACGAAATAACCTACGTGCTATCGCAATTGGATTAATTTTTATTAAAATCCAGAAATTACTTATTTATAAACAGAATTATTTAGTGAACATTATACCTATCAAAGTGCTGATATACGTGAAATATATTCATTATATRCCGATATTACAAAAATATTCTCTAAYRTGYTAAATATTCTCTAACCCATAAAATATGCTTTTTTATGCAGAATAAATTTTTTCCTATGAGTTCTGTGTTTCATGAATCGTAAAGATTTCTCACTCCCACTTAACTGCATAGACTAGAAATAAATATGTAAAATCATAAAAATCCGACCTCTATTTATTATACAAACATAACCAAAGATTATTAAAAACATTATCATCAGAAGTTAAATTACCAACATTAAATAACATCAAAATGTTAAAATTAATTTGTTACCTTAATGAAAAAAAAAAGATAACTCAAAAACGTAAAAGTATATATTTTTAAACATTTAATTAATATATCTGTGAGAAATGGTATTATCAAAATTATAACATGATAAGATACGAATTACCTACTATTGTCTATTATGGCAGATATGTGACTTCAAATGTTTATCCGGTAAGTATAGGGAACCTGGCAATCTAATTTGTTATCTATATCAGTGTTAGCTTATATTATTATGCATTAATATCATCAGAAAAAAAAACTGAATGCAACCGCTTAGCTTACCTCTAAAAGAATATCCCCACGATTTCTCATCTGATCCTATTAGACTGGTATATTCATTTTCAGAGCTCTCCAAGTCGAAATCTTTTGTGCCAACACCAACTATCTGTGAGTACAGAAATAAGTTATTGGCATTATGAAATATCCCCTAAATACTAATATTTTTAAATGTGACTGTACCATGTCAGTGGCCATAGGCGAACCTTCCATTTTGATCTCCCAATAGTAGATATGACCGGGCATAAACGGCATGTCTCCACGAACAGCTCCGGTACCTTTACTAGTGTTTGGATGAATTACTACCTTAAACGTGTCGTCTGATACACTCACATCAGTGGTTGATTCCAAGGGGTCCCATCCCCATTCCATGTCTGGCCAACACAATATTAATCATGTAACAGGTAGATATATYGTTACAGCACTATAATAATTATATGATCTGTTTCAAAGGTGGGCATTAACTAGTTAAATTAAAAAGATAATTTTTTTAAATTTTTTAACTTAACAAGTTTCTAATAAACCTATGAACTAGTTTAATAAATTGACAGTTGAAAAACTTAGCTTTTCTCRGTTGATTCAAAAATAATGTATCAAGTTAAAAACGCTTTGAAATTTTTTGTTAATACTTAAATATTAATATAAAATAATCCAATACTATAATAACTAGGGAACGGATTTAAATGCTCTAAAAAACAAGAAAAATGCCTTAAAAAAATGCTTTAACATCAAAAAATGCACTAAAGAAATGCCCTAAAAAACTTTAAAAATGGGTTTATATTCAATAAAAACAAAAAATGCAAAATAAAAGTTACATTTTTTAATTCTTTGATGTATGAAATGAACTTTTTGCTTGGAAACCAATGTTTTCGGACATTCAGAAAAAAATGTAATTTGCATTCAAATCCGTTCCCTAATAATAACACAATCTATTTTGTCCTTTTTCTGGATAAAATAAATTTGTGTAATGGTTTAATTTATCAGATTCGTTAGACACAGCCACTCTTAATGACGTGCTTTACGTACCAATTAAAAATATAGATTAACTTTTAACTTATCGAGTTAGCTTAGATTCATAGTTTGTTAAGAGTATGTAACAGTGGAATTTGTTTTCTCTGTCTTACCAGTGCGTAATATAGCAAATTTACGCTCAGCAGAACACTTGTAGCTCCTTTAGTTTAAAAATTACAGTGAATCGACCTATTATGAAACTTGATGGTAAGAACATCTGTGTTTGTATGTTGGTTTTTTACAATAATTCAATTTTTAGGTGAGTTATGAGCATTTTTAATGTACTGTATATTATATATGCTCATAAGTCACTTAAAAATTGAGTTATCGTAAAAAACCAACGTACAAACACAGATAATGTACTTACCATACACTTTCATAATAGGTCGATTCACTGTAATTTTTAAGCTAAAGGAGCTACAAGTGTTCTGCTGAGTGTAAATTTGCTATATTAGTGTTTTAACATAAGGATCATATGTGCTCCTTAACTTAACTCAATTATTTTCACTGGTTTGCCCGCCTTATAGACCTTGTTTTAAGCACGTTGGCGTTATACTCACGGTTACTGGCACCTAGACTATCGTGGTCCATCGAGTTTAGGAGGGCCTCCCACTGATTATAACTCGACATGGTCATTATTCGTTGACCAATTTTTTAGTTTTAGATTTGAAATATTTGACGTACGATCGACAAACACTATATAGGTAAACTTTATTTCATCACACGGTGCTGTGTAAATATAACATTAATTCCAACTCTTCTCGCTTCACAGAGCACTCGCCGTTCTCGATCAATTCGGACACTTTGTAGACCAAAATATAATAATAAACGGAACGACGCAATAACTCGAATATCAGTCGATTCAGTGAACGGACCAAGAGCCGCTGCTGATAGTTAATACTAAATGTGCTAAAGTGCAGAGGAAGACCAGTCGTGGCCCGTAGGTCGTGGCACTGTGGCAGTCGTGCTATTGAAATGTTAAGCGTTAAACATTTATTTAGTCATTAGTGTTTACTGTTTACCACGGACAAATACGGCCACACAGCGCGACCTGCCGTTTCTAGAAAATTCTATAATTCTTTAGTCTTTGCACGAATACTCTACACACAAACACACTCTCCGCTAGATGGCGCTATCGCCGTACGCGCATTAATTTAAGATTTTTCTACTGCTTTCAATGTCAGAGACACAGACAACCATACTGAGTGCAGTATAGAAATCTGTGGTCTTAGATCATCCAAATCACATTTTTTTTTATTTTTTTTTTATTGGTTAAGCATCAACTACATAGGTTATTAGCTT